TTCAGTCAGAGCAACAAGCAACGGATGTTTTGGATCGATGACGGAGAAATCGGAAACGTCTTCCTTCTGAACTTCAGTTAAAGGTCGCAGAAGCTTTACACAGTTCAACTATTAAAACACCTAAATCAGTAAGCGTAACGGCGAATGCACAGCAGCTTAACTTGACTTCCGCTTTAATCGACTCTGACGTAGGTCTAAACGGTAGAAGAATCCGTCTGATCTTCATCGCCTCACAATTTCCTTGCCTCTGTCATCCTTCACAGACTGACTGGCACTCGTGAAAGCCAGATTCGTGAAGAGCAAACCGGGTTTCGTCGAGGTCGAGGCTGCATTGACCACATCTTCACCTTGCGTCAGTTGTTGCAGCACCGTCACATATATTGGCGGCCCACCGTTGTCGTGTTCCTCGATAACAAAGGTACATTCGATTCGGTGGATATACGTGCACTTTGGAACTATCTACTCGGGAAAGGTTTATCTGAGAAATAAGTAAATATTAGCCGAGCATTATACACGCGTAGCTCGGGCAGATTGAGTGCTTACGGCAAGCTGCCGTTCCCCTTTAATGTCTCCAGCGGTGTGAGACAAGGATGCCCGCTGTCACCTTTCCTCTTTAACTTCGCTATTAATGAAGCCATGGAAATCGCGTTTACAGGGCACGACTTAGGAGGTGTGGACCTGCTCCCAGGAGAACGACTTCTGGACTTAGAGTATTCTGATGATGTTGCCCTAATCCGTGACAGCTCACAAACGGGCCAAACGGCATTGGACAGATTAGCACTGGCTGTCCGTCACTTCGGGCTTTGCTTTGCAACCTCGAAGTGCAAAGCGTTCCGTCAAGATTGGTCTGGACCGCCTCCTACGCTGACCATTGGTGGGGATCAGCTAGAAGTCGTTCAAAAATTCAACAACCTGGGAAGTTGTATCAGCGCCCGTGGGATTGAGGATGAGATCACGAACCGTATAGCAAAAGCTCGGGGCGCTTTTGCTAATCTTCGCCACTTATGGCGCCGGCGCGACATCACTCTTACCCTGAAGGGTAGAGTGTAGAGTGCAGCGGTACGTTCGACCCTACTGTACGGTTGTGAAACCTGACCTCTTAGGTCAAGGGACATAAAGAGGCTCGTTACGTTCGACGAGCGGTGCCTTCGCAATTTAGCCCACATCCGGTGGGAACACCGAGTTAGCAACGAGCGTGTTTACGGCACAGGAAAAGGAAACGAACCGCTCAGCAGAGTTACTTCACGCATTAGGCTCAGATAGCGCGGCCACGGGTTACGCATGTCAGTCCACCGACTCCCGCGAAGTGCGTTGTTTGCGCGCCGGGGGTGTGGATGGAAGAAGAGGAGGGGTGGCCAAGCGATGACTTGGTCGAGAGGAATGAAGGCTCTCACTTCTGAGCTTGCCTCGGTTGGGGCTTCTCGGCTCCCTGGTTGGGGTCCGAAAGACGATGAACACGTTTGGCTGGATACACTTGCTGATATGGCTAGGAGCCGACCTCAGTCGCGGTCGTGCTGTGAGTTTCTTTGTTCCACCCCATCACTCTTAGCCTCCACTCCAACCACGATCTCGCCATTTAGCCTTATATAATTTTGTATAGCAATTTTTTGCTGCATAGTAGCCGGCAGATAGCTTACCGGAAGGATGCCCATCCGTTACCGGTAGCTCAGCTGGCTTGCACCTGTAGCATTTTGTTCTTTCTCCGTTTTTTTCTATGTATTGTGGCACTGTAGCTGAAGTGTTTCCCACTTCTAGCTAACGTGTATAATATTGATGATGATAAGATCTGAACGGAGATTAGGACGCACCTTGGTCGAATCATCTTTCAGACGAGGTATCGTTATCCCATCAAAAACGAGTTACAGCCTACCTCCTATGGGTCGGCATGCTCCCAAACTTGACCCCTTCACCCCTCTGTAGGTTCCTAGAGACCAAGAAAGTTGCCTGCTTGTATACGAATGCTCTGGATCTTTTTACTAAACTGGCCGAACAGAAATATCGCCAAGCCTCTGGGTC